CCTACGCCTTGTGTAGACAACATTCCGTCACAAACAGCTGGCTATCGTGCAAAGACAAAGCGGCATGGCCAGACAGCTTCCTTGCGGCTTTCACTGCCACGCGTCATAATCAGCCATTATCCCGCAGATAACGCAGCACCAAACACACTTTAAACAGGCAATCCAATTAGGAGACGGCAGCAGACGCGCCACTGGTGTCTACTGCGAGCCATCTCCTGTAAAGTCTCGAGCCAAGCACAAGGCGAGTCACGTGGACTCCAGCCCGGAAGGCGAGACGGACCGACGGCACCCAGTTTGGTCGTCAGTGACTTCATTTCCCGCTGCCAAGTCAACTTTTGTCCACGTCGAGCCTTGCGCCAACCTACACCTGGCAGACTGAACGAGGCAGACTGAACGAGGTAAGCGGTGACCAGGCATTCGTAGCACTGCACGAGCCTACGCAACTTATCCGGTGCTATCTGTTGTTCTAGGGAGCTGGCATGATCATCACCACCTAGTACTCGCCTACGCACATCATCGTTGCGGACACGATGGTGCCATCCAACACCAGCAATGCATCGCAGATAACGATGATCAAAGACTTGAAGGCGCCTCAGATCTTCTGACCGAAGGGGCCAAGTCCCACTGCCATAGAGCAGAACGGCCCTCACTGTGGCCTTGTATACACGACCTTTCAGACGGAGGGAAACTCCCTTCTGTCGCCAAAGATGCCGCAGGTTCAAGAAGGTAGCTCTGGCCTTTGCAATGCGTGAGCCGACGTCAGTTTCTATGCGTCCATCATTGCTGATGCAGCTGCCAAGATAAGTGAAATGATCAACCACCTCGAGTTCCTCTTTAGCAAGCGTCAAGGGGTCATCAAGTGGATGGTGGTCCTGCAGCAACACTTTGCACTTCGAAGGTGCGAAGTGCATACCAAATAATGGGACCACTCTGGATAGGCTATTCGGGGTTGATTGTGCCGCCTCAGCATTGTCACAAAGAAACACGATATCGTCCGCATAATCTAGATCAACTAACCTTTCACCAGACAGCAGTTCAACGCTTACATCGTGAGATTCCGCAAGGGAACACTCCATGATAGAATCCACGACGAAATTGAACAGAAATGGGGAAATTGGACAACTCTGACGAACGCCACTTGTAGTTGAAAAGCTATCCGATAGGCCACCGTAGACCCTGACGCGGCCTGTAGTGTTCGAGTATAGAGCACGAAGGATGTTCACATATTTCGTGGGAACACATTTCCGCGCAAGTAATTCGAACAGAATCGATCGATCGACTGAATCGAACGCACTCTTGAAATCGAGGAACACAGGTATTGTCAGTCTGCGGTATGCGTGGTGTTGCTCTAGCACCTGCCGCAAAGTGAATATATGGTCTATACAGCCACGTCCTGGGCGAAAACCGGCCTGCTCTTCTGTAATCCGAGATTCCCGTTCCACAGTGAGGCGACGAACGATAATCGAGGCCAATAATTTTGTCACAACTGGCGTTAGGCTAATACCCCTGTAGTTAGAACAGTCTGTGCGACTGCCCTTTTTTATTGCCACTATAATCGATTCGCTCCAATTAGCCGGCACGCTGGCTTGTTTCCACATACGTTCGAATAGGGAGGTCAGTGCTTTTCAAAGGACCTCACCTCCATCCTTAAATAGTGCAGGTTTGAGGGAATCCGGGCCAGCGGCACGAAAACGATTGAGGGCCGTGATCGCCTTTCGGACCTCGGCCTCCGACGGAGGATCTAAACTAACCGTCCATGACTCGTCCTTCATCACCTGAGTAGGAACAGGTCCGGGAGCAGGCGGCCAGCTGAACTGATCTTCAAAGTTGTTAAGCCCAACGGGCCATACGGCGCTCCTTATTGTGTATCAGCGCACCTGCGCTGTCTCTGATTGTCTCACTGACACCTGGTTTTCTGGGACCAGTGGTGCGGATTAGCTGGAAGAACTTGCGGTAATTGCCAACTGCTCCAGCCTCCTCCATTTCTTGAGCCCTACTGGTCCACCAGGCTTCCTTGTCAGCACGTAGACTCCGCTTTAGTTCACGCCTAATAGCCCTTCTGGTCACATTGTGTTCAGAACCAGCCTGGAGGTGTCTTCTAGCTTCCAACAGGTTCACGGACCTCTCGGATATCCAGTGACTTGTGCGGTGACGATGAATAGTGCCACAAGCAAATGCTCCTGCGTCGTGCATGGCGGCCGAGATCCTATTCCACTGAAGCTCAGTGTCATTAGGACAAAGCAGCGAAAGTTCGGTATACAGTGCTTCTTGATAGGCTTGCCTGACCAAGGGCTGAGACAATTTCCCCGTTGGCAATCGGGGGAGACGCTTTGTGCGCCTTCCGGTAAAGTTCATGGAGAAACGACAGCGTACCAAGGCATGATCAGAGTCGACACAGGTATTCCAGTACGAGCGGCAATCTAGGATGGAACCGCTTCGCCTGTAAGTTATGGCTATGTGGTCAATTTGGGTCCATCGCTGGCCAGCTACAGGTGGACGCCAAGTGGCAGTTTGGCGCCCACTGTGTCTAAAAGCAGTGCTACTAAGAAACAACTGGTGCTCCGCACACAGTTGCAGCAGACGCTCGCCGTTGTCAGTCCGTTCGGAGTTAAGTCCATACTTACCACCCAGCTGAGCTTCTGAAGAGCGCAGACACCCTACTTGTACGTTCATGTCCCCTGCAAGTACTATAATATCTGAACTAGTAGCACTGCGTAGTAGGGCGTTCAGTTCGTGATAGAATGTGTCCTTGACTGCATTAAAACTTCAGTCGGTGGGAGCATAAGCGTAAATCACAAACAAACAGCGTTTTTTACTGCTTCTTGAATCACCCTTAGCTGATGTCGTCAGACGGGCTGCACATAAACGGCTGTTCACCGGAATCCAATCAACCAACGATGATTCAGCCTTAGAGCTGAGAATGATACCTACACAAGCTTGACTCGTGAGTGCCGCATCGGCGTCTCCGGATGCGTGCAACCAATAACGAGAGGATAAGCCGGGTGCGGTCAATTCAATAACCTTGATAGGGTCATTGAATCCTAGTTTCGGACACACAACACACATCCACACCCAGTGTGTCCAAGGTGCGTCCGAGTGCAGCCTGCTGACCTGTTTGTCTTAGAGTGCGGACGTTGAATGTCGCTATGGAAACGGGATAGCGTGGCCTTATAAGGGACTTTTGCCGATAGGCGTCTGATAGGTGCGGTGGGATGGTGGGTGCAGGTGGTTCTACTCCAGTAGCACTTCGGTTGCTGTCAATTAAGCTGGGAATTATACAAAGAAGGTTAATAATGGGGGTCGGGATGGGAGTAATAGAAAAAGGTGGAAAAGAAAGAAGGGAGGCGTCAGCAGTAGCATGTTTTCCCTTATCCGCCCTGCTGTATGCAGCAGATAAGGCGACCCTTGATAATCTGCGCGACGGCCGATGCAGGATGAAGTTTATGTTTGAAGAAGATGTCATGGTTGTATGTGGGCTGAGATACTGCCAGGGCGCCCAGATCTAGACAGGAGGACGATTAGGGTCCTCATCCAAAGCCTTTGGCTCAAAAGCCTGTCCGCAAGGCAGAGGCGAGGTGACAGTGATTTAGTTTTACAGAAATGGGCGCCATCCCATTTCAAACCCCCAACCTGGAGGACCAGGAGACTGAGTTTGTCTGACCTCACACCATTGACCAACCTGGTAGGAGTATCTCTCAAGGTGCTCGGAGGCATCACCCAGTATAGCTCAATGGGTCAATGAGGTACGCAAACCGTTGCACCACGTTATGGTCCAGTCTCGTTGCGACGTTTATATCCGAGCACTTTATATTTAAAGTTGTCGGCTGCATAGTGAGGGTACAAGCGACTGGCTGTTAAATTATCCATAGACACCATTTTTTTCGAAGGGGATGATTGGGATGACTTCTGCGAGGAATTTCGTTTTTGTGAACAGGCAAATGTAAAATATCTGTGAGGACTGTTGGATGTCAATTAGCGGAAACACTAACTAACTTTCATGGTGCAATACATTACCTATGGTGCTGTAAATAGCTAGAAGATGAGCTCACTCAAATTTTTGAAAGATACTTGGAATCGATCGGGTAGTTATGAGTTCAGAGAAGTTTGGAAACAAACTACTATGCCAACCGATCGTTTCCAAACCTCTCTGAACTCATGGCCCCACTCACTTTTGATGTATGTGACAGTACAAGTAGTCAAGGAGGTCTTGCTCGGTTATTATCACTCTTGTTTTCGTTATTATAACGGGAATAGAAAGAGCGTACCATCTATCCATCAGTACACTGTAGTGAACCTTCGCAGGCGTAACACCACAATACGATGTACGCCGGGTGGAAAACTGTTTGGGGGCACTAATCCGCTGCGAACAGCTCGAAAAACCAGACACTTAAACCACTACGACATGGCAGCAGCAGTACGCCGGTACCCCATAACGATGCTTTGCTGCAACGAGACCACCGACAGTCGCGTGGAGACTGCGTATACCGCCACTTTGCCGGCATCTACGCATATTCGTACCGGTCAGCTCTGAATTACAACGCAGACGCGTAATTCTTTCGGCCATCGACTGATATATCCCCATTGTGACGGAATTCCCAATCACGAGTCGATGGTTAGAGCTCCGAGGTTTTAGCAGACGGCAAGTTTTTTATTTTTCTACTTTCCTAAAAATAATTGTGCGTCGAAGCGCTGGGGAACTTGGATTACTTGTGGGCATATAACTGCTGTCAAACTAATCGAGTCTCGTTTTTGTGTGCTAACCTGACTGGACCTCATCGTGCTGGCTATGATTGCTTGTATGGTTACTAATCAACTTGGTTTGATTACTCTGAGTGCTTCTTCTAGCTCACCTCTAAATTTTCTCGCCCTCTTGCCATCGAACTCGATCACTTTCCTAATTTCTGTCTTAGTTTTACAACTATAATTCGGGGTGTTTTTATGCCAGCCCACTCGTTGCGTTTAATTTGACATCCTACTATCCAAAAAACATTCCTATTTTAGGCCAAACTTTTGCCATTGGTGCCAAACATGTCGTGATTTACTTCGAACGCTTTCCAACTCATGCTGCGCACCGTCCGTCTGTTTACTAATTTTTGGTGTTCGCGTTCGCCGTCAACTTTGGCGATTTCCGGACGCCGGAATACAACGACACTCCGTCCGAAAAACCTTGCTTCCTCTGCGCAAACTGAGTCCCATTATATGGTAAAAGATTATGACCAAATGTGCAAGTGTTGTGATGGTAAGTACGCTTTGCCTATCTTTTGGACGTTCTGCTTGTAAATAAGACTGCTTTTTTGTCTGCGATCCTTGCACCCGAACATTTTTTGTTTGGTTACCTCTTTCCTATCAAACACATCTGCTCTTTTTTGACTGTGAGTTGCACCTTCTTGGCTAGCCCCGTGTACCCGTTGAGCAGAGATAACACAACAGGCTTAATAAATAGGAATCGGGTGAGTGCGCTTTATGCGTGAAACGACGGGATTTTTTGATCCGCAGCATTGTAATAGTCAGTGTGACGTGTAAAAACGAGGCAGACGAATGTAGAGATGTTTGTTCACTAACATACAGGCAGTTGTTGGCGATCTCAGCCCAATATCGCGTTTGTTTCACTGCGATGTGCATCACGTGCGTTTAGATCGTACGTCCTCTTCAGTGTGATGCTTTCTTTAGTTTACCCCCGTGATCCACTGAGCCACTTTGGGTATCACCACAGTCACTCGTGTTAGCCAATCCAATGTCTAGCGATCTGAAAAACTCGCTGTCAACATCTTAATTCCAGCCATGAGCGAGCAGTTTGCGGCTTTTACGTTTAACTCGATTACACAGTGCACGAGTGGCACGGGTTATCCCCGTGATGGAGGGCACAATGTATGCTCTCTGGCCCGTTACTCCCCGCCTTAAACCATACAGCTCAATCGGCAAGGTACCTATCCGTTAGTAGTCGACTAGCCGCTGGCGTATTGCATAATCTTATTGAAAACACCATAATTTTGTTGGATATGCCAACATATCTTCGCGCGCTCTACCCTACCGAGTTGTGCACCTACTTATTTGCCATTAGAGTCGGCTATAGAGCAACCAGGCGTGTCTTCCCTTCATAAACATTGTCAAATTTTTTTATTCGTCTTCTAGCCAACAAAGGTTTCATTTGTCGCATGTTGTCAGGTCATGTGAATGCCTTACTGAAGACCACCTTTTTCCAGGTCTGCTTTTCTACTAGTTTCTCCTACTGCTTAGTGCTTTCATTTCATACGATTGTCGGAATGAGTGGACGTTAGTTACACAATGCATGCCTTTTCCCATTCACTATCTTCGTGTTGCACTGTTGACGTTTGTTCATCTACTCATCTCTCCCATTCTTTTACCATAGAGCGAGTTGCTGAAATGCAGCAAATTGATCCCTGCGGGGTTTTCGTCAACAATGAGGTCAGACTTGGGCAACTGGAAATCTTTGGCTTTGACTTCGACCATACACTGGCAACGTATACGCAGGCTCTAGACGAGTTTATCTTCGATGAAGCGAGGAATTGGTTGGTTAAACAAATGAAGGTAACTCCGGTCTCACCTATGCAATACGGCAGTCAGTTTTCTTGGGAGAACTTGTGCTCCTTCATATTATACTGTGGCATACTTTTGCTCAAGTCCTTATGTAGTACTTTCAACTTTAGTTGTTGTTATATCCTGCCGTTTTCTCACGACTGCAAGTTGTTCCGCGTACTTGTCGCGTTCTCAAATCCAGTAAGTACGAATACTTTTGAACTTATGCGCAGAAACATGGATGGTATGAGGCTATGGTTTTGGCCTTTGGACACTGTGGCTAATGAAGTAACTGATGGTTGCTTTTAGATTCTGTCGTGCCAATCACGATTGTTCCAACATCACCTGAAGCTTAAAATCCGTGGGTCATTTTGCACTCTTTGTGATTGTCGGTCGCGAACAATCTGCCACTGTCACTATCTTTTAGTTAGTCGATTGGAACTGATTCTTTGCTTCCGGGTTTGTTCCTTAGTCTGTATCCGATCTTTCTCTGTAAGCATTCCCAACACCAGCTTTCTCTGGCTTCACTACATTTGTTGTGTTTCATTAGTATCCAGAAGAGCTCATGGATTTGACCTACTCCGCAGATTTCGCTATTCGCGGCTTGCATTTCGATGTACAGCGAGTGAGTTTTCCCCTGATGATTGTGTATCGCTTGTGTTCTCTTAGTATGATAGCGGATGTTCTTCACACTTACTTCATTTTAAACGCTTGACTGCATCACATGGTGCACTTAGAAATATTTGACAGTGGATGTTTCGACACTTTTGGTATAGGCATCTTTTTCGCTTTGGGTTCGAATGGAATAGTCATGCTACATCGTACTCACTACAACATGTTTATCATTCAGCACGTTAGTTTGAAGTGAAAACACGTCACCTGTTGGGTGGCGACACATTCCATTTGGATGGTAGCGAAAAACGAATAGCATAAACACAAGTAACTAAAAGTAATGATGCTTTGTTTGTGGGTGAAATCGTGTTTATCATTTTTCTGACCAGCCGAAACCATGTTCAAAATGCGAGCCTTCCTTATTCTTTACGGCGTCATCGACTGGTCCCCTCTCTTTCATCCAAGCCCCGGTCACACAAACAACTCACGTTGCAGGATTCGGTATGCTAGCATGTGCAACACGTGATGCAACCACCGGAGCCTAGTGCATGATAAACGGTACTAAGCGGTTCGCTTGCTCTTTCTGTGCTATGGGTAATACAGTGAAAACGCTCACTGCTCGCTCGGTGTTCCCAATAGATATGAGCTGAGTTTCATAGGTACCGGTGATTGCATATCTGTCGCTTTGAAAGGCTAGCTTTCACAACCGTACAGCAGTGTCCAACGGACGGGCACTGGCGCCATAATTGGCGAGTGTTGGCAAAAGCGTCATGAGATTTCGCTATCTGCTTTATAATCTTCACAGGAACTGATGTAGCTGGCCACGTGGTTGAGTTTCTGATCAACCTCTAGTTGCTCTTCACCAAGAGTTCTTTGAGGGGGGGTTTCTGTTAATCCTGAAGGAACGCTTTTCATTTCGAGCGTACAATGTACAGACCGAAACGAGTGATAGCCAGTGCTAATCTGTCCAATGTTGCTTCTAGTGTCTGTGAACTGTCACAGATTAGGGCAATGCCGTCGGCATACGTGAAGACGAAAAATCAATTATTTGGTCACAACTCTACGCTTAGAGCTTATCCAGTGAACCTAGTTCCCATAACTTTAGCTGCATGAAACCACTATAATGCAGCTCGCAGTGTTGCTGCCTCCTATTTTCCCACCTCAGCACTTTAACTTGGTTGCACTTCACCTGTTGGTCAACGGGATGTCCTTTGGTCTGATACGTGTTGCTTACCACGTCAGAGTTCTGTGGGAACAAACAGAGCGTTTATCAGGATTATTCGCGGACAACTGCGATTGGATGTGCGGACGTTTGATCACATTGTTTGATATGTTTTTAAGGTTGATCTGCTCCTATCTACACATACTGCATAGCCAGTTTCCTGTGTTTTTTGATTTGTCACTCATTCTCGCAAGGGATACCTGATGAAGGTCGACTCATTCCATAACATTCAACTGGATACGGTTCACCGTGGGCTGACACCTGTCCGATCCGAAGAAAGTCTGCAAGCTTACCAAGGCAACCATTTACCCGGAACTTGCCTCAAACAATCAACTTTCAATATTTTTGGCCACTTAATCCAAAGTACATCAAAAGTAAGCAATTGTTCGGGCTTGTACTTAATAGGTTGCATTCTTTCAATGGATTGTTAAACCTATGCGATTTGAAATAGTTACGCCGCGTTCTTGTTATCACAGATCAAATACACAGCCAATTTTTGAGTTGCTTCGGTTTTGCATTGTCCTCACTGATTCCTTTGTTTCCTTTATCACTTCTATCAGCACTTATTGTTCCACTATTCGTTTTCCTGATGGCAGGCGTGAAGTGCGCATGACACGTATACTGCGTGGAGCTGAGTGTCGCACCGATAACAAGTTGGTGCGCACCAAAATGTACATATGTTTTCGTAATTATGTGTATTGCTCACCTGCCGTGAATCGGCACAAATCTAATATTTGTTCCATAGATACTATTAAGAAGATAGCAATGGATAAGGTGATGGCTACCGGCCTTGTCGATATCGAATCCACTGCCTGTGGCACTACGTTCTTGTGCAGATGACAGCCGCAGCCGAGGAAATGATCAGTTACACAAACTATAAGCGACTCGATTGGTTTGTTGATGACAGTGCGACCGTTGGCGCATTGGTCTCGGAGAAAAATGTAGCATTCGCTGCACATGTGGATAATCCTGCCGATGGAGAGAAGGAGTGTCAGTTTCGAATCTTGATGGCGCTTGACTTGGGAGCCTCATCGCATCAAAGATACATGGTGGACGGTGAAGGCGAAGCAGATAGAATGATCCGCCGAACACTGTCAACATAAGCAATTCTTCGATTCATTGAAGGTGGTGTATGGACCCCCGTTGCAGACGTCGAGGACGCTAGTGGATACTACTTCAGACGCTGCTTGTACACGGACTGCAGACATACTGCAGATCTGACGAAGGCACTTTGATTATTTTAAAGAAGCCCATTAGATATCAGACATAAAATCAACATATGTTCGCTAACACTCACTTTGATTGTCTATTGAACAACCGTTCAGAGATTGGTCCATGTTGCGCGGTCTGCAAAGCAGGAGATGAAGATGTCTTGCCGACACAGACACTGGATGTTGCACAGAGAGCACTTGCTCAGCTGCGAAACGGCAAGTGCGCCGGACCCGAAGGGATACCGCCTGAAGTGTTAAAACGCAGCGGACCCGCGTTGATGCATTCGCTGCACCGCTTGGTGCAACGCTTGTGGGTTGAAGAGAAAGTGCCGGCTGAATTGAGGACTGTCCTCTTACCCCCACTGTACACGAGCGAAGGAAGCAAGCAATGTGCCATTAGTTATGGTGAGGAGGTGATCACACGAATCCTGCTCAACCGCCTCGTCACTCAGGTCATTGAACCGAATGTGGCGAAAAACAATATCGATTCTGTTCGGACCACAACACAATAGATTAGGTGTTTGCGGCTCGTCAGCTGCAGGGGATGTGCAGAAAACGATACCAACCATCGTACTTTCTGTTTGTAGACTGCACTAAGTCATTTGCCATCGTGAACCGCAAGGCACTGTGGCTGGTGTTGGGTAAGTTTGGGTGTCTGACTATGTTTCTGACTTGCTGCCCGTAGCCCAAAGCATCACAAGCCTACCTTATAATTCGAGGATTCAGGTTCAAGCCTGTGTAGGGAACCGGGCGACCTTCATCATCATCATCCGACTGCGGACAGCGCTCGCCGGTCGACTTTTACGCTCCGCTACCAAACCAGTTTGCTTCGTTTACTACTTTGGGCAACACCGTTCTTTGTATTATATTATATTGAATTCGGTATCGTTTTCTATTCTGAATTTATCCATCAGAAAATCGTTTTGTCTACGTTTTTGATGTCGCTTTCATATGCTCAATTATCGTCCACAGCTCGAACCTAATTATTTTCCGCGGTTATGACGAAGCAAACACCCTGTGGTTCTTGCTACAAAATTGTTGGACATCGAGCTAATGCCGTTATTTGCTTTTTGTGTCGTAGGAATTTTCGTATCTCATGTAGTGGTCTAACCATTGAGCAATTTAAGCTTTTACGTGAGATTAAAAATGATTATGTCTACATGTTTTGCAAGCAATCCCAGAGTAAAATGCGACAGGAGGAAGTCGATAACCCTCGCGAGCCAGCAAGGAAGGCAAAGCGTTCGAAGGCGTGGTGCTCCGTATGTTCACCTCAGAAGGTTGACATCCAACCACTCCCAAGTTCGAACGAGTCTACTTGCTCGCCGGCTGGGGACTCTCCATTACGATGTCTATTCGCTACCGGAGGCCCAGCTGGCGTGCCTGTGTTGCGTTCTACGGACACTGGTAACCTGGTGTGCGATAACGCAAGTGAAGTAGGCGAATGGCGAATGCAACGAAGTAAGAAGGACTGAGCAATCGCCAGAGACCAGCTGCGTTGCATCCTTATGAGTCAACCGATACGAATCTTCAGGCTCATTATGATCACAACGCCGAGTTTCTACAGATCCTGATAGGCCACTCGACATGGGTGAACAGGGGTTGAGAGTGAATCAAATCACCTGTCTTGGAAAAAGTGGACGTGAAGACTCGGCCACTACGAGTTAGCTTTGCAGACGACGCGAGTCCTAGGCTGGTACTATCCAGCCTTGGTAGGTTAAAAGAGTTGTAGATCCATATTCATCCAGTTATGGATCCGTCGGACGGAGAGCAACTGAAATCCGCTATCATTGAGTTGAACCAGCATATCCATAGTGGGAAAAGTAATCTCCGCCTCGTAAATTTTCGGGTTGTTCCCGGCTCCGCCGAGTCTGTATCAACTGGTCGATGACGCTTGATGCGCGCCCGGCGGCCCCTACCGCGGTCTGCACGTAGTCTTCACAAAGGTTCATAGTTTATTGAACAAACTTGACGATCTATATCACTCCGCTGCCCCGTCGTCCGGGGCCAAAAGGTGAGATCACTACCCAGGAATTCCAGTTCAGCGGTAACTCGCGCTTCCGGTGCGACAGACTACCAAACGATCGAGGCGATGTGTTGTTTTACATTTGGTCCTCGCTGTTCGGGAGATTGGTAAGTGCATACAGAAGCGAAGATGGCCTGTGTGAGCAGCTATGGTGCTCGATCCGCCTGAGACAGAGTGAACTGTTTGTTGGTGCGGCTTATCGAAGCCCACGAAGTCAATGCCTGGATTGGTTGCCGCATATCAGAAACTACATGAGTTGGCCCGCTTTCTTCTTATGGGCGATTTCAACTTCCCTCGAATTCCGTGGCCTGAGGTTCAACTGTGAAATCGAGGCGCAGTTTGCCGAGCTGATATTTGAGACTGGCGCAGCACAACACTTATGCCAACCGACGCGCGTTACGCCGCATTCCGCTCCATCGATATCAGTAAAGCTTTCGATAAAGTGAACCATGTGACCCTCCTCCCCAGGCTGAGGATGTGTGGTGTTGATGGCGCACTACTTGACTTGATCAGTAACTTCCTCATTAGGGGAAAATGGAAGGTACTGGTGAGTAATCGCTTAACGGAATGGTACCCCTCCACTAGCGGCGTACTCCAAGGCACAACACAGGCCCCCTTTGTTCCTGATCCACATCAACGAAGTACCTCAGCTTCTTCAGTCGTCCTGTGTATCGTTTGTAGACGATATGAAGATTTGGTGGGTCATTGCTTCTCCCGCCGATTATGACGTCCTTCGGCAGGACGTCGACCGCTTGTCCCTGTGGTCTGCAGACGTTGTTCTGTCGGTCAAGCCGTCATTTATGTGTTTGGGGAAGGATGGTAATGGGCGCAGGTACACCTTAGCCGGCCAGTCGCTGCATCTCACAAGCTCCGTAAAGGATCTTGGTGTACCCTCAAGTTCTGATCTGAAATCTGTCAACAACACGAACAGACTACAGAAACGCCTGCTTTGGGCGCTTAGACCCAGCTTCTGCACTTGGTCTAAGGGGATCGCGGTTTGCATGTTCTCTTCCATGATAAGACCTGTGCTTGAGTACGCCTCATCTGCCTATTGTCCGATCATAGTTTGTGAGGTGCAGAAACTGGAACGGGTTCAGCATATAGCTACACGGTTCATCCCCACTTTACGGGGTATGTCTTACGAAGACCGTTGTAGGAGACTGGAGCTGTGTACCTTGTCATATCGCCGGCTTCTAGTTGATCAAGTCAGCTCAAGTCAAAATAAGCTCTATGCACCCTAATGGATCCATTTTCAGCATTTACATCACCACTGCGGACATTTGGATGATAATATCAATATACATGCTTGGGTAGAAAAGTGGGAAAAAGCGGAATTGTTACTCCAACAAGCGCTCCCGCAACATGTTAATGACTTTTGCTAGGTCAACAAACAAGCGTGGGAGATAAGGCGAAACAGCAGTGCGACACCATGACCTGCGGGCAAATAAAGTTCTGAATTTCGAACGAGTAGAAGAGAAAGAGAGCGTTTTGGAAAGATCATTTTGAAATGGATGTCATCGGTCAGTTAGTACCTTAGAAGAAAAATCATTGCAGGCATCAAGATGTCTACAAATGATCACATAAACTAAAGAATCTCTTCACAAGCCGCTGCATCTAGTAATGTGCTTTGTAGATCGCACCAGTCCAGGGAAAATGACAGGAGGGCATTATAGCCAATGGGGAATAATACAAGAGGTCACAAACCAGAATATTAAAGTACGAGCTATTGAAAACACCTTAGATCTGAGGGCATAAAAAGAAAAGCTTCTGGCTTTTTGAAAACTTACTAATGTGCGCGGACCAAGTAAGGTTCTGGGACAAAGAAACACTGAGATACATGACGGTGGAAAAGCTGGGTATGGGATTTTCATCCACAGTAAGTGTGGGGGAGAAAGCTATGAGGGACTACAACTTATCGCCATTTAGAAAATATATTACATCCCTGCATTTAGAAGCATTAAGTGTAAGAGATCTGGATGGAGACCATTCTACCAGATCTTCCAACCCACGTTCTAGTGATGATGAACCCTATTTAATGGGGGACACATCCCACACAACATCATAAGCATATTTGCACCCTATAAACGTGGTTTTTATAGGGAGATGTTCAACATACAAGGAAAATAGAAAAGGTGATAGG